TATTAGTACCTATCACATTGCTCTCAAACATATACAAATTATTCTCAAAATTACAACCAGATGAACAAACACAGAGATTCCTAACTTTCTTCATGCCTCGCAAGCCTAGGAAATGTTTGTTCAGTGTTTGTATCCTCCAAAAAAGTGACATCACATTTGAAGAAGTTTAATTTTTGTCATTTTTTTTTAACCACATTACAGCTGAACAAATTGTACTTAACAAATAAGCTTTTAACCCAGCACAAATGAAACTCTAAATTGAACAATTATATTTTAATTAAAAAATATTATAATCAGTAAAATGAATTACAAATGTGAACATAAAATTCAGTAATTTCTTTGCTTTTGATTCTCATTTTATTTATTTTTTTAATCTAAACGTTCATGCTGTCTGCAATCAACAGGTCTGCCTATGGATTCAAATGATTTCTAGATTGAATTCTGATTAACAAAAGAGAATTGAATCCAGAAATTAATTGGTTATAACAACATTTTTATTAATAAATTCAATGAATATTATAGGCAGCATTGACCTAGTGATGACAAATTTGCAGGTATGAACTCTCCTTAAACATCGCAGACAACTGACTGAGTGATATCTTGTCATTCAAGAACACAAGCCACTCTGTCACACCCCATGAAATTACATGTTACACTACTTAGGGGTGCAGGCACCCTAAATTGGTAATCCCTACTCTAAAGGAAAATCAGCCTGCACAAATGCAAATTTTAGGAGTGGCTACTCAGCAATATGTCATCTACAAAAAATATATGAACTGAGCCGATAATAAATGACTTTGTTTAGATTCGGTCGGTTATGCAAAGGCTCTTGTCTTTGGAGTATGCACAGCTGTCTTCAACTTACTATGAGAGCAAGATATAAATGGAAACTGAATATAATTGAAAATATTAAAATGTGGGGAGGGCTTTTTGATGAGACTGAGAAAGTCCTAGAACCCTTCATACATATTTATTCATATATGTAAACTCATAAATATGTATATAGCTTTTAATTTATATCTACAAACATGTATATATTTATTTATAAATATATATTTAAGTACATACATTTTGTTTTTAATCATTTCACTCAAAGCAAGGCAATAAAGCCGCTAGGATGCAAGGGGTTACTGAGTGTGAGATAATATGAGAAAAAAAAACAACTATGAAGGAAAGAGAATGATAAAAGAACAGGAATTAAGAAGACAGAAGTTTAACGATTGACACTGCATATATTTAAATTTTTGAAGATCAAAGTTAACTGGGAAGCAAGAAGCTGGAAGAGAGTTCCACAAGTGAGAAGTGCGAGAGAAAAATGTTAGCATAGTACTTACTGTTACATCTAGCCTTTTGAACCATAAAATAATGAGACCTTTCTGTCAATCCATTACTGTGTTTAAATTCATAAATTCCAGGTACAATAGAGGAAAGTTCATCCGAACAATTACCATGAAAGTATTTATAGAAAAGACACAGGGAAGTTATGTTACAGTGATAGGCAAGTGGCTGAAGCTGAGATGTTAGGCCAAGACCAATAACATTGCAGATTCTTTGTAATTTATCAAGAATCTCTAAATACATTGTAGAAGCACCAAATCAGATGATGATGATAATGATGATCCACATCACCATCATCATGGACTCTTTGATCACTTTAGAGATAAGATGACCCAACATGTCAGTATTTTAATTTGTTTGTGTTTCTTATGAGTTGGCAATTCAGCAAGGGATTTGCATACCTGTCCACAATCGAGGAAGGTTATATTGTTGTCAAACACAAATGCACGCACACACACACACACACACACACACACACACACACACACACACATATATATATATATATATATATATAATGATATATAAATTTTTGTATACCAGAACAATGTTAGGAAAATTAATGACATTTCTATGTATGCGTAATTACATCAATGTAAACATCACTTTAGTCTGATGAAGGACAAAAAAATTCACCACGCAAAAATGTTTTTCCACTTTGTTATATATGTATGAGAGAGAGAGGTAATCAAATGTCAAAAAACTCCTAAGTAAGACATTTTGTCTTTAGAAAGAATTTCACCAGATTAATCATTTTTTTCTCTCCTACTTTAGTATGACTCTATCAATAAAAGCATAATTAGTCTGAAGATGTCCTTTCTAGTGTTGAAATGTGCTACTTAGGCCTAATTCAGTTGTCTACTCTTAGTTGGATGTATAGATTGGTTTATCATATCATCCATATATATATATATATATATATATAGTTAAATTCCCAGATCAATTCTGTGGACAAGACAGATTGGTATAAAATGACAATTGGAAAAAAAATCTAAGAAAAAGTTCAATTATCTGAGCATAACTTGGAATATTAATGACAGATGTTATATATATATGTATGTGTGTGTGTGTGTGTGTTATGAGAGAAAGTGCTCCAGGTACTTGAGAACAAATCATAGATAGTTTCAAAGATATTTAATTGAAAAAATCTTTGTATTTTCAAAATAGATTATGCATACAGGCTGTAACAGCAAAATTGTCCAAATCGTGTAACAGCAAAATTGTCTAATTGTTAGATTGAGACTTGAACTGTTGCATCTTAGAAATGCTATCTGACTGGAATTCGCCAATGTTTTTTATAACAACACAATTGGATTCTACTTTAAGCAATAAGAATATATAATTACTCTCCAAGTTTAACAGAAGAAGCATGATGAAATCAATCATAAATGAAAATGGCATGTTCATCATTAATTAATTATATCTAAGGATCAGAATCTCATGAAGAATTGAAATTAAGTTCAAATATATATATATATATATATATATATATATTAAAAAGATCATTTTCCAACTTATTCAAGATTATCTTCACCCTCTCTAACCTTTTAACTTTCTGTTCTGGAGTAAAAGTTTAATTCAAAGGTTTCATGTAATATTTCATTTTCAAGTCTTTTTTAATTTGTTCTTTGGATGGTCATAATGAAACCCTCTCTCACATGCCAAATATCTTATGGATTGATTTGGATCTTTTCTAATTGACCTCTTTACCTCTAAGTTGAAATGATGATCCCTCTTCCTATTTTTCAACCTCTGATCCAATTTCCCTCTACTGTTTTCGCTTTTTTAAACTTATTCATTATTCTCTTGATGGTTCTTGAATGAACTTTGAAGATGAAAAGCCAGACTATGAATTTTGGTACCATTACTGAAGCCCTGAATGATTTTTTCCGTCAACATTGCTCAGTTGGCACGGCATAAATAATTTTAACCTGTTCTCTTCTTAGCTGAATAATTCAAAGGGTTTGTCAGTGATTCTTACAACAAATGGCGTCAAGATGGCTAAATATCTTATTTGAAAACCTGGAAAAAAGAAACTCAGTTAGTTTAGTGTTTTTTTTAGATATTAAACATTTTTGAGATGCCAATTTTTACTGACAACACAAACATTGAATCTGAAAATAGTTAAAAGCTATCTAATATAACTGAAAACAGTTTTATTGTTAAAAAAAAAAAAATGAAAAAAAAATTATTTAATGTTTAAACATTTTTTCAATAAAACAGCTCAAAAACAATTTGCATTCATTTGTTCATGTTCACAAATAAGGAACCTTTATAAGTTCGAACTTATGAATATAAAAGTTGATCTCTTCTCCAACCGAAACTCCAGATGTTGTACAAAATTGGATCACTCCCAGTTTTCTGTTCATGATTGGAACCAAATACCAAATATGCAGAGTCTTATTGAAAACATTTGTCATATCTGTTTTTCTACCTCAGTCAGGCTTAATCACTGTGTGTAACACTTCTAACTTAGCTAAACAATGGCATTGAGGACTGAAGAAAGACTTTATATTTAAAACCAGACCATGTTGCAGTACAAGCCCTGGACCATGAGTGTGAAAGTGTAGTTGGTGTGGATCACAAAATGTTTAAAACCTCCGAGGTTAAATTTAACATGTTTCCTGTTTTTGATTGGCAACTTTGAAAATGCAGTCTGTCTCTGAGTCACTTTAGCCAGTGTCTAATACCACAAGTATACAGTATATATAATATACCTTTTTATTTCTTGTATCAGATTGGAATCTACCATCTTAATGCTCTTGTTACATCTGAAAGAGAAACAAGAATGTTAAACTTTGCCGCATGCCACATAAAAAAATTACATTAGTTTTTCTTACACCTGCAGTCTGCTAAATGTGTCTTCTCAAATACTGGAAAAAAATTCTCTATATATATATATATATATATATATATATATATATTAAAAAGAAGATGGCAAACGTTTTTTTGGTTGTAATAATGATTTTTCTAAAAAAATATTATGCTTTATTTTCCATAATTTTACTATATGTGTTTTGGAAACCTTTTCACCATCTTCAGGTTAAAGGTGGAGATTTCCAAATTATTAAAAATAATTAATTTTTTTCCTTTATGTTTTTTGATATGAGACATTCTCTGTTTTTGTGTTAGTAATCCAAATGACTTTCTTGAAGAAATATACGTATATCTATCTATCTATCTATCTATCTATCTATATATATATATATATTATATGAAAAGATTACTTATCAATTTTATCCCAACATCAATGTTTTTTGGTAAAATTTCCAGTTTTTCAATTTTACCAAGAAACTTCAAAGTCAGGATAAAATTGATATTTAAAAGTTAATTTTTTCATATAATATCATTAACAATCTATTTTTAATATTATTTTAATATTTTTAATATTTTATATATATAAAATTATTATGCTGTTTCTGGAATATTATATATATTATTTTAAAACATTTTTTTAATGGATGTCCATATTTCAGTAGATGCTCCCGAATATTTATTTTCATTTCCATTTATTGGACTGAATATTTGAACCTGCATTTCCCTAGGGGAAACCATCATTAGATCTGTTTTGGATTTGTTCCTAAGTCATTCGAGAAGACCCTGTCCAAGTAAAAACTGACAAAAGCACTATTCAGGCTTAAACCATTATTCTTTGTAGCCAAAATGATAAATTACATCAGGAATTTAATAAATAAACAAATCATCTACTCAAATATAGGTATCCACTAAAAATAATGCTTAAGCAATATAATAAAAATATTTCAGATTAATATATGAAAAATCCATTACTGAAAAAGTAAAAATTGTGAACTCATATCTAATTCAATAATGTCTATTAAAAAAAAATTATTAAAAAGAATTTTAATTGCTCAAAAATGAGTTTCTTTTCACTTTGGGTGCAAAAATAAAGTTAGTAGATCAAGACTTTGAACAGTCCATGATAGATACGCATTTTTAAATAGGATATCTATCTCTCTATTGCAGCCTGTACATATCTATCTGTCTATCTCATATTTTTACAGTCTGTTCATATCTATCTATCCATCTATATTAATTTATATCTCAGCCAATTCATATCTCTCTATCTCTGTTTATGTTTACATCTGTTTATATCTATTTTCTCTCAGTCTGCCCATATCTATCTATTCATATCTCTGTATCTCAGTTTGTTTATATTAAAGTTTTTTTCATCTCTCCTAAGTCAATTCCTTATATTTCTCTGTTTATATCTACCTTTTTTCAACCTGTTCATATCAATTCCTCTATTCCAATCTGTCCATATCTATTTTTCATCTGTTCAGATCGATCTATCTATCTATATCTATCTATCATATCATCTATCTATCTATATGTTTGTTCAAATCTGTCTATCTATAACTTTTTCAGTTTGCTTATATCTATTCATCTATCTATATCTCTCTATCTCTTTATATTTAAGTCTGTTCATATCTATCTCAGCCTGTTCATATCTATTTCAGTTCATTCATATTAATCTAAACCTGCTTTTTTAGCTATCTCTATTGAAGTCTGTTCATATATCTGTTTATTTATGTAACTTTTTATTATGGCATTGATAATCATTTTTCAGGCAAGATAATGATTTTTCTTTTCAAAAATGACTTAATGTGATCTTTCATTTTGTATTATGATACATATGTCAATACAGTGACTATATGAATGATGCTCACAGCAAGTGAAATAAAAAATAGAAATATGGCAGATAACTCTGTAATAAAACCACACAACATTTAAATCATGCAGGTGAAGAACTGGAAGTTCATAAGAAAAAAAGAGAGAGAAAGAGGAATTTTTTTCTATCACTGTTTCAACATCTAAGCTCACAGAAATTACTCAAATATATGGTGTATGTGTTAATCATAGTCTTTCTCCTTCTCTTTGTGTGTATGCATGTGTCTCTCTCTCTCTCTCTGTCACACTCTCTCCATGTTTTAGTCAGTCTGTCTGACACTTTTTTTGACTCTCTCTATCTTCTGCGGCTTAAATAGCGAAAGGTGATCTAACATTGAGATAAATAAAGAGAATTTTTTTTAAACAAGGCGATATATATTATCACTTGACAATTGAGGCAAGGGAAATTACTGAGAGTATAAAGAAATTGAAGATGATCAGTTGTGGAAAGCTGGACAGAACACCAGCCTGAAGATAAAAAACACAGCAAAAACTTAGAACCTTGCACTGAAACTAATTAATTGGATAATCATGAAAATTCACTTCAGAACTTGAAAACTTACAATAAAATAATCACAATACAATTAGATACAAAATATATGATATACAAGATTTGGCAGAAAAGTTCACAGGCCGACCAAGATATAAATGTAAGCAGACACACAAGCTGGTAGAATAAAAGAAATGCAAGTGTACCAGAATACAACAATTGGTTCATTTGTATTTTTATATTTCTCTCGCTGTGAACATCATTCATAGAGTAACTATATTGTCATATGTATTATAATACAAAAGTGTTTAAAATCACATTAAATCATTTTGAAAATAAAAAACATTATTTTGACTGAAGAATTTTAATCACTAACATAATAATCAGAGTAATATATATATATATATATATATATATATATATATATGAAGAAATATACTCTTAAGGTGTGCTATATTTATAGATAAAATTGCTCAATATCAGAGATAAAAGTATGTGTATATGTATATATATATATATATATATATATATATATACATATTATTTTAGGTTTTAAAACATCTTAAAATTCTACATAATAATAAAATTATATTTCAACACTATAAATGTGTCTCCTCAGGCAATGTCAAACTACAGGCTAGTAGTTTAACATCAAAAGAGACATGTTTAATATCCTAAATTAAATAATATTTAGTTCTACTCTGTAAATTTGCCCTTTTTAAATTAAATGTTATGTCCAGTGGAATTATACTCCACTTGTTCTCATTTTTACCTATATATATATATATATATATATATATATATATATATATATATATATATTATAAGAAATGGATTAAGTCTAACAATTATTTAATATATATTCTGTGTATACATTATTTTAATAGATACAATTTATTTAGGATATATATATATATATATATATATATATATATAATACAGTGAATAAAAATATAATACCTAAATTTCCCTACTTTCCCACAACTTGGAGTTAGAGTATCATGTGTATGCACTATTTATTTGTACAAAATTTGATTGTATAATTAAAGAATTAAGTTTCCTGTTTTTTTAATGACCTGCCAATTATCAACCACTAAAAAATAAATGGAACATTCACATGAAAACTTTAAGCTGCAGGTAAGCAGTGAAATTTAAGTATTAATTTTTTATATTATTTTGTGTATATATATATATATATATATATATATATATATATATATATATATATATATATATATAGGCATGGTTAAAGTAATGGATAGTGGCTCAGATTGAGAAATCAGAGATCCGAGGGAGAATTCCAGTCAAATCCATTGCATTCACTTATGTACTAATACCCTTGAGAAGGGTATGAATCTTCTTCTTCTCCCCCCAGCTACAGGTAAATAGCAGGAGATACTGGGTTCTATAGCCTTGTGTAGCAAATAGTCTAGATTTCAAAACCTGCAGAGGGACGTTGCGCATCAGTTCTCTATATTAGACTCTTCCAAAAAATGTAGTTGGTTTTGCACAAGCCTTCACCACCATAATCAAATGATTTGTGCAGGTAGTTCTGGCTGTTGGTTCTAGAAACTGAGTTGCGTGTCCCTCATATGTTGAAATCGATGGGAGAGTCTAGTGTGTACATATATATGTGTGTGTGTGTGTGTGTGTTTATAAATATAAACAGTCTCTCACCTCTGCGTGTTGACTTCAATGTTCACTTTTATATTTACATATGCTTTATCTCTGATATTGAGCACTTTATTCCCTAAATATAGCACACCTTTAAACTATATTTCATCATATATATATTTGGCTTGATTGATGTGAGTTTGTAATAAGTACCGCGCATATAATATATAAATAATTATATATATATATATATATTTATTTATATTTATATACTTTTACACACACACACACACACACACACACACACACACACACATATATATATATATATATATATATATATATATATATATATATATAGTTAAACATATATGTTACTCATATGATATCCAATTACTCACCATTTGCATTACTTATAATGGCTTCCATCTTGTTTTGGCATTCATGGCTCCTAAGATGACTCTAAAAGTCAATATTCGATTTAATAGACATCATGCATATACAACAGATAAGCTTTGTATCCTTGATTGGATTGACTGGATCTACATGGCCTACAACTCTTCTGTGTACCACCATGTGCCTTTTCAGACCAGATGATGATCTGCAATATTGTTGCAAACAAAACAAGTATTGTTGGCTGGAGGATCAGACAGGATAGTATAGTTGGTGTCCCTCTGGTTGTTCTGCTGACCATTCAGATGGTTTACATAACTTGCGCTTGATAACAGCAACATACACTCACAAATACCACATTTCCAAGACTGATCTTAACATGCCTGAGACATTCATCCTCAAGGGTGTTGCAACCCTCCTTTATGAAGTCCCTCTATTTTGTACGATCTAAAGTTAGTTCTTCCTAATGCTTCACATCCATGTGCAATGCATTTAGATTATCCTTAAAACTCTTACGAGGCTTGTGTTGTGGATGTGGATAAATTGTCATCTAAATTACACAAAAATGAAAATAACACTGACATCTCATTTTAACAGATATATTTACCAAAATTAAACAAAAATATCTTGAAATGCTAAAGAGCAAAAATATTAAATAAAATCGCCATTGGCTTCAACCATAGCCTCCAGATGACTTTGGAATCTCTTGCAACTCTTGGATGGTCACCTTGTTTAAGTTGGTAAATGCTTCCATAATCTTTGCCTTCAGTTCATCTTTGGTGTTACAAGGGGTTCTGTTGGTCTCTTTTGCTCAACTGTGCCCCACACATAATAAAACCACCCACTTGACTCAGGGCAGCAGTGCCATCTCAAGACACTTTATGTAGTTCTCCATGTTGATTCTGGGGCCTGCACCAACAAATGCAGGTGTTCTTTTCTTATCATAATGATTAAAGGGAGTTTTCCATGCTGCCATACCTTTGTAATCAACATTAGACTTATTCAACTCTTTCTGAATCCTCTGCAATGTCCTCAGATTGACACCCAAAGACTCTGACATGTTTATATTGGAGTTTTTGGTTCAAATGCCAAGGAGTACAGTATGCCATTTTCAAGTTTCTGGCAGAGTGAATTGTGTAATGGTGCTCTTTTTTTTTTTTTATCACAGATGGTGCCCAACTGACCCTACTATACTGTGCAGTTGATAAAATCAAAACCAAACAACACACATGCATAAAATGGGGACAATTTACCCATTACACCCTGTATATAAACAGGGTATCTACAAAGTCATTAGACAAATAGAAAAATTTATTAAAATTACAATGGAAATTGGATACGGTTGAATATGTTTGCATAATATGAAGTAGATAGTGAAGTTTATATACAAATAGTTAATAAATTTCTATATTGGTCCTACTCATTGTATGAAGGACGTCTAAACAATATTCAGATTCTGGTCATGTCCTTTTTAACATACCTTTATCAATAGTTGTGATGCCAGCAGTTATTCTTTGCGTAAGGTCATCCAAGTCCTTTTCTTTTATCTGGGGAATAAGAGGACCAAGTTATGTGATCTGGAAACATTTCATTTAAAAACCCATGGACATATATTCCCCAATGAGGCTGTGCTCTATCTTGCTGAAAGATGATATTTGAATGGATTTTTTTCTAGTTGTGGCACAACAGATTCTTTTAGAACATCAAAATAAATATTGTCTTTTTCAAAAACAAAAGTGGACCAATAACTTTGTTGCACAAAATACTGCCCACAAAACATTGACCTTCAAACTGTCATGTTCAATTTCCCTAGTAATGTGGGGATTTTCCAATCCCAAAATTCTTGTATTGTGCTTGTTATGTTTTTCATACACATGAAAGGTTGCCTCATCCATAAAACAAATAAGGAATTCATCTTTTTGTCATATTTTTGGTAAAATTTTAACAGTAAATTCTTTTTGTTTTGGTTTGTCATTTATCTTAATTGTTTGCGATAATTGAATATTATATACAGAAAGGCTCAGATTCTTATGAAGCACTTTATGAATTGTTAATCTTTGTAGTTGGAGTTGAGCAGAAGCAATAAAGATTGCCTTACATGAGGAATGTTGAAATGACTGACATCTCAAGATCTTCTTCAGATGTTCTTAGTCTTTCAATTGTTTGTTTATGCATCACCGTCCTTGTTTCCATAAATTGTGTAACAAAAGACATGACTTACCTTGGAGTTCGAAACGAGCACAAACATGTCTTGCCTGCAAAGTGATGACAACAAAGAAATATGGCTGCTATTGAAGACACAATTTATGCGTGCCTATCTCGTCCAAGATGAGACAATATTGGCATACATGCAAATTTTGGCTGTCTTGGAATAGCATAAAAAGAGGGTGCCAGCAGCACAGGGAGAGAAGTCATTCGCCGGACTGCGTGTGTTAGAGTTGGATGTACGGATTGACAGACAGACAAACAAAGAGGAAATTGAAGTAGGCATGGCTGAGTTGGTGTCTGTTTCACAACTGCCCAGTGTAATGGCCGAGAAAGGGAGCCACACAATCCATTTCCTTGAGGCAACCAAAGAAGAAGAAAAAGAGTTGGCCTGCCGGTGAGCGTTGCACTGCACTTTTTGACCCCCTCATCATCATTTATTTTTCACTACAAATTGTTTATGTCAAATGTGAATCGACTGACATGCCAGAGCTTCTTTTCCATATTTAGCTGTGTAATTTCTTTGTGTTTGAATATTCGATTTTGTTTTGACAAACCAAGACACACATTGTGCTTTTTCTTATAGAGTAGTCATTGTTAAGAGTAACTCCTAGGAAGTTTTTAATTACAGTCTGAAACATAAAAACATAACATTAATAAAGGTATTAATGTCATTAAAAGATCTATAAATTTAGTTTCTACCTCTTTTAAGTTTTTCATAATGACTTTTTGAAATTGTCTAAAGAGTTTGTGGACTCCCTATATATATAAGGCAGAGGACATAAAATGTTAAACTATTTTTTAAAAGTCACTTATTTTCTTTTTCTTTTTAGTCTCAAGCAACACCAGCTTGGAGAAAAATAATATAAGATTTAATTATTTTAAACACACACAAATGCATACACACACAATACATTTTTTGTTATCCATCTGATGAAGCCATTATAGGCAAAATGCATTATCGGATGTTATTTTCGAAACATACTTTCATGAACATTTTTCCAAATGTCAATAACTTATAACTCTGTTGGGGTTACATGCCCAAATTTATATATATATATATATATATATATATATATATATATATATATATATTGCCATCCACAGACAGACTGTTTTGCTGTATCACAGCTCATCAGTGTGGCTAGACATCCGTATATATATATATATATATATATATATATATATATATATATATATATATGTATGCATGACCAAATATATATAAATACTTATACAAACAAACACACATATATATATATGTAGAATAACAATAATATTCCTATGACAGAGGGAATAAGTGTTTATATAGATAATCTAGTTTTTATACCTAGCTACATGGACAAAGGTAACAAAATTGCTGTTATTTATTTTGTCAGCATTGACAGAAACTGATGATGAGTAGATAAATTATTAAACTAATATTTTTAAAGTTTGTAACTGTAGAGAATTCTTTATTTTCCAACTCCAATGAAATTTATGGTTTCTTAGAACAATTATTTTTTGTTTATTAAGAGTGTGCAAAAGTTTCCAGTGAAAAAATGGTTTTGCACTCTGTATTCAATTTCTTATTTTAAAAAAAAATTGCTTGGAACTTTTGCACACTGATAATACTTGTATTCTATAAAATATGCTTTTTTTTGTCTTCTACTTTTATGTATATTTTCATTAATTTTATAATTTTTTTTCTTTCAGGGTTAGTGATGCTTTAAAATAATCCCATGATGCAATGCATGGCCATCCCACAGATTACAGAAATGCTCTAAGCCAGAATCCATATAAAAGGATCCACTCTGGGATCCAGAAGTATTTCTTTAAAGACAAAACAAATTTTCTCATATTTTCAAGATTTGGCATTTTGATTAATGACAGAATGTCACTTGCCATTAATCTTTTGATATAGCACGACTGCCACCAAAATATATTCTAAAAGGTAATTAGATAAGAAATAAAGAAGATACAAGTGGAATTGAGATTTTGTTTTCTAACATGGACGACAATTCTTGAGAAGAAAGAATTGCTTTACCTCGATGGCCAGACCCTCAAGCCTGACTGGTACACCCTGGTGAGGATTTTATATTACTCTGCTGCCAAGTAACTATACAAGACAATATAGCCCTTGATTGGGAATAAAATAGAATAAAAACAATCCTCACTTTTCTAACATAGATTTTTCAAAAGCGTACAAAGTAACACAAAGTACAATAAAGATGTATTCATTCCAGCCTGTCTTCCCTTTTGGGAATCAACCTAATGTCTATGGCCAGCCCATGTATCCAAATAACTATATGAAATATCCAACTGAGAGGCCCCTATCAGCTGAAGAGAAACCCTACATTTCTCCAGAAATATGTGTAAAAGAACAGATAGCCTCACCACCACCCATTGAGCGAGAGAGCATGAATGACCACTCGATGCCGCCTTTTGAACAGAAGCACATCATTACCCCAGAGAAGAACTTCCAATGCAACTACTGTAAAAAAGGTTTCTCAAACCAATTCTTTCTCAAGAATCATGAACTAACTCATACTGGACTGAAACCTTTCGAATGCAGTTTCTGTGGAAAAGCTTTCACACAAAAAATAAACCTCAAGAACCACTTACGGACACACACAGGAGAAAAACCCTTCCAGTGTAACATTTGCAACAAAGCCTTCAGCCAAAGAGGAAATTTAAAACTCCACTTGCGAACCCATACTGGAGAAAAGCCATTTGCCTGTGATGTTTGTGGCAAAGCCTTTTCTCAAAAGATCAACTTAAATGACCACAAACGGTTACATACTGGAGAGCTCTTCTACTGCCAGTTCTGCAAAAAGCCATTTTGCAACCAATTCTTTTTGAAGATACATGAACGAATACACACAGGTGAGCTCTATAAGTGCACTTTTTGCACAAAAGCTTTCACCCTGCAAATCAATCTGAAAAACCACTTGAGGACTCATACAGGAGAAAAACCATTTCAGTGTAATATTTGTTCAAAGGCTTTCTCACAGAGAGGGAATTTGAAACTGCATCTTCGTACACACACTGGAGAGAAGCCATTTGCCTGTGACGTGTGTGGCAAAGCTTTCTCACAGAAAATCAACCTGACTGATCATAAACGGCTCCACACAGGAGAGCTCTTCTACTGCCAATATTGCAAGAAGCCATTTTGTAACCAGTTCTTCCTGAAGATCCATGAACGCGTACACACAGGGGAGCTGTACAAGTGTGAGTTGTGCAGCAAGGAGTTTACACAAAAAATCAACCTCAAGAACCATATGCGAACGCATACTGGGGAAAAGCCATTTAAGTGTACGCTATGCCAAAAGGCTTTCAGCCAACGGGGTAATCTCAAACTGCATATTCGCACACATGCAGGAGAAAAGCCATACTGCTGTACCCTCTGCCCTAAGGTGTTCTCTCAGGCAGGTAACTTGAAGACACACCTGCGTACGCACACAGGCGAGAAGCCATTCAGATGTGACGGCTGCGGGAAGTCATTCTCGCAGAAGGCAAATCTGAACAACCACAAGCGGACACGCACTGGCTGTGAGCTTTATGCCCGAAATCCACAGAATAACCAAACTCCACAGCTTTCACAGCCTCCTTCAGCTATGTTGTCTCCAGGTGCTGCTACATCTCCTCCCACCTCTGCATCTGCCCCTGTTTCATCAACGATGCTCAGTGTTCCATCAAGCCAGAACACAAACCCTCCACTCTCAAACTTAACCCAGGAGAAGCCAGCACTGTCAGCCTTCAACTCATGTGACAGTAGTAGTGAGGGCAGTCACAAGCGGCCACGTCCTGCCTGTGACCTGTTCCCTAAATACCCACCCCTCCCACAGCCACCACCATCCCTACTCAGCCCTGGTGCCAACCCAACACACCAACAACAATCCCATCACCACCCACAGCATCAAAACAAGATGCCCTCACCATTTAGTCCATGTGATCCTGACCCCCACCACAACCCTAAAGATAGCCATCATCCATCATCAACGCCATCACCTTCTCCACAAAAACCAAATATGAAACTGAGCCAATCAAGCTCACCACATTTAGGACCGCTGACCCAAATGCACCCCCATCGTGAATCCCCAATGTTGCCTATGAGGTTTCAGTCCCCCGTGGAAACTGTTGCACATGCTAATTCTGGTTCTTATCTCCATGAGATGCCTCAAAGCTGGGAAAGCAACTATTTATGGGGTAGAAGTTACCCTATTCCTCCTCTGCTTGGGTCTGGCTGGCCCAATATGCCAAGTGCTTACCCAGGAAGCAGCATGAAACAAAGTAAGCATAGCACATGGAACAGTTTTCCAGGGATGCACACTCCTTCAAAATCCCTCACAGATCATTATGGAAGCCCTAAATGACAATAAAAAATTTGATTTCACCTTTAGGGGTGGGGACGTATCAGTACATATAAACAGACTGGATTGCTTTTGACATATCCCAATTAAATTCAAAGTGAGGTGGACAAGATATTTGTGTATTTTCCACAAATTTTGGAGATTGATGTTCACTCCCAAACTAAAGCCTGATTTTGAATGCTGATTTTCAAGGCAGGTAGCCAAGCTCTCTCCACTTACAAGATTAGTGCAACACAAATTTTCCTACCTCCAGTTTTCCCCTCACTTGATTTTGTCCCAAAGAAAGATAGAAAGGAGATAGACATTATGAAATAATTTCCCCTACCTTCAAGGTGCAGTGTGGGTTCAGTCCTGCATAACACTCCAATAATCTCTTAGATCATGGGATCAACAAACAATAAGCAGGGTCCAAAATTCAGCATTTCAATTTAAATCCTGATAAATTAAAAGTGATCCCTAATATCATCTGTGTTTAGTGTAATAATTTTAATTTTTGTTTTGGGGGAAATCTACTAACTTACTGCTGACTTTTTTTTGTTAATCATTTCACCCCAAACAAGGTAATAAAGCCACTATTATGCAAGGGGTTACTGAGTGTTAGAGAATATGAGAAAAATATTGAGAGAGAACAATAAAAGAACAGGAATTAAGATAAAGATTGACATTGCATTTAAATTTTTGAAAATCAAAGTTGACTGGGAAGCAAGAAGCCAGAAGAGAGTTCCATAAATAAGAAGTGCAAGAGAAGAAACTGTTAGCATAGAATTTATGGTTACATCTAGCGGCCATTTCAACTGTAAAACAGTGAGACCTTGTCACCAATCTAATACTGCACTTAAATTCATAAAGTCTACATACCATAGAGAAAAGTTCATTACTATGAAAATATTTTTAGAAAAGGCACAAAAAAACTACATAATGGTGGTAGGAAAGTAACTGAAGCCAAGATGCCAATAATATTGCAGATTCTTCTTTAGATTTTATCAAGAATCTCTAAGTATATAACAGGGGCACATGACCAAATATGGTAATAATATTCAAAGTAAGGATGAATGGTAGACTTATAAATATGTAATATTATCCAGTACAGTATAGTGAACCAACTTTCCTAACTGCAGACTGAACAGTTGATTCAATATAATCTTTCCATTTCATGTCAGCATTAGTCTGAGAAAGCACAACGAGTCACTCTCCTGGAGGTTAGACTTGCTTATAAATTCTCAATCAGAATCATTCTGTACATTAAGAATAACAATTTATCCATCTTAATAAGACTAGAAGTTAATGAGATTCTTTTTAAGAATAAGGTTCTATCTTAAGCAATTAAATCATGGAAAATATCTCTTCTATTTTTATGTTATTTAAAATAGTTAACCAACAAATTATATTCCATTTTTTTTATTATCTTGGCCACAATTTTGGGGGTATTTTTTTTTTGCAGCATCTATTGTAAATGAAATAACTTTTAGAGAATCATTTTCAAAAAGCTAAAGATATTGTAAATTACTGTATTTTTCAAAATATGAGATGTACTCTAAATTTAATATAAAATATGTTGGAAAAATATAATTTTTATTTTTTATTGATTTGACAGAATCATTAATCCAAGGTAGCTTTTACATCAAATGTTTGGCCCTTAGTGCTTATGATGTAGAGTGATTTTGAGGAAGAGATTTTAACAAATGTACATATTATTTGCTACAAAGTACATTTCTTAATGAAATTATCTATTTACTAACATTTATCTATATTAGTTTATAAATTTGGAATTTGGTAAACTGCATTACATTCCAAACAGGAAAAATTAGAAATTGCTTTGTTGCAATAATTTCAGTTAATATCATTCTGCAGATAGTTTTAATTCTTACTTTGATTGCTAATTCTTCTATTCAGTTTTTATAAGGTACTTTAGGGCTCCAAGTGCTTCACTAATGATGGGTACAAATGTTACCTTCATATTACACAGTGTGTTTAAGTTCTCTAGCAAAGTTCAGATATGTTTTCCAGCATCTTCAAAAATAATAATAATAAATATGAAAACTAACCTTATCTTTTATTGATCAAACTGTCAGAAAGCAAGGAATAAGGTTGCTAGTCTTTCAGAAGAGTATGAATAGGTGTAATTCACACCTGCTTTCAATTAGTTCTTTTACATTTTGTTAAAGCAGGTACAACACCCTTGTTCCACTCAAAATGAGCTTGGGAATACAAGCAAAAATTGTTTCTTTACTTACATTAATGTCATTTTTGCTTATTAGATTATAACTCAACTGAGCCTGAAATAATTGTTGTCTCTCTCTACCAAGTTATTTTCTCCTCTCTAGTAACTTTCATCATCTAACCCTGCCTTGGGGTAGTGGGTTCAAAATCAATCACTTTGTGGGACCTTACGCCAAGTTTATCAAAGGGAAAAAATATGATTGGTTAGGTAAATTTTGAATTGCTAATAATCTTTTGGGGATTTTTTTTCTCCCTGAATTGACTGAAATTTGTGTCCTTGCCAAATGATTAAACTTGGCTTTGAATTTAAGGAGAGGCACTTAAAAGTGAAGAAGTCTGTTTTAGTAAACACTGACATTTTTTCTCCAATTCTTATCTTGATGTTAAATATTTGTTTTCTTTTTTTGTGAAGTGTAATGTCTTTTTTGAAAGTAAAAAAAAAAAGAAAATGGTATTTTTTTTTACTAATCCTTATATTCTTGATCTGCTTGATTTTTTTTTAAAATCAAGAACAGGGTCAGTGGTTTTTCAACAGCATTTTCATTGATGAAACCTCATGAATGTACAAGTCTTTTAACCTTTAGAACTTTGTATGTGACTTCATTTGCAAGCAGAGCTGTTTTTCTGCCACTGTGTGTTTGAATTTCTTGGTTGTGTTGTCATGTCCTGCTATGACAACAGAAAATATCATTGACTGATACTGGCAATGGGACTATTACAAAAAGAATGCAGTGGAAGGAAAAGTAATGCTAAAAAATAATGCAAAGTGCTAAAGATTTTAAATACTTATAAAAAATAAACTGTAATATCCATTATTGTTGAATTTTTTGCTTTCAAAATCCGTTGTTGAGCATTGACCTATAATATATATATATATATATATATATATATATATATATATATATTAGTTCTCAGATGGAGTGCATCTGTAGAAGAGATAAAATGAATAAAGAGACGAGGAAAAACTAACTTAGTCGACATGTTTCGTCCTCTGATTTGCCTTGATAAAAGACTCTCAGAGGATGAAACACATCAGCTATGTATAATTTTTTTTTTTTGTCATTTTTATTCATTATATATATATATATATATATATATATATATATATATATATATATATATGATGATAAAATATAGTTTTAAAGTATGCTACATTTATAAGTATGTGCTCAATATCTGGGATAGAATAAATGTAAATATGAGTGAACACTGATGTCAAGTGAGTGACGACAGTCTGTTTCATTCTTGAATGCATGTGTGTTGGGTAGTAGCTTGACTATTTACAATAGTTGGTCATTGGGGCATTATGGATTGCAAGGTCAGTTTAGTGTGTTATTTGTTGCTCACCTTGCTACCCATAATGCCCCAATGCTCTGCATATATAGCCAAGCTACTGCCCAACAAACATGGTCTGAAGATTGTGTCTAAGCATGAAACTGACTGTCATCACTCAGTGTTAACCTCAGCATCCATGCTTATATTTATAGATATTCTTTGTTATTTGTTGTCAACTCATATTTGTCATCTGTGGGCCAATCATATTGCAATTACAAATTTCAAAGAAACTTACAATTAGAAAGTCATACAAAGGGGAAAATAGTAAAGCTGAAACAAAAACAAGAGAAAGTTTAAAGAATTAACAAAAACTTCACAATATTAACAAGTCTACTCCAACAAGATTCTTACCAAAATAGTATCTCTTGAAATCTGGAACATTACCCTCTTTCATTTTATCTGCATATTTATGTATAGATCACTGCCATATTGGTAAAGCTCACTCATATAGAATTATAGTAGTAAACACAAAACAAAGTAGTGCTATAAGGTGCGATGGATAAATTGTCGTCTAAATTACACAAAAATGAAAATAACACTGAATTCTCATTTTAACAGACATATTTACCAAAATTACACAAAAATATCTTGAAATACTAAAAAGTAAATTTATTCAATAAAATTGCCGTTGGCTTCAACCAAGGCCTCCAGACGACTTTGGAATTCCTACAACTCTTCTGGACAGTTAGTGAATGCTGCCATAATCCTTGCCTTTAGTTCATCTTTGTTACTAGGAGTTTTCTTGGTCTCTCACTCAACTGCACCCCATGCATAATAATCAAAGGGTTGCAGTCTGGGTAAGTTAGGTAGCCAGATGTAAGGGATGATGTGGTTGCAGAAATTGTCTGACAGCCATCACTGGGTTCTCCTGCTTGTGTGGCATGGTGCAGAGTCCTATTACCAGACATAGGGTCTTCCAACAGCCACCCTCTTGACCTAAGGCAGCACTGCCTACTCAAGACATTTGATGTAGGCCTCCGTGTTGAGTCTGATGCCCTGTAGAAAGATGAATGGAGACATAATGTTGCCATCACTAGTGATCACTCGAAACACTTGTGTAATCACCAAATGACATCATACATTATGAAATGGACAAAGTCCGACAATTATTTAAAAAATTTTTTATGTTTATACATTCTTTTTATAGATAAATATTTGTTTACATTTGTTTACATTTGGATATGCATTGAGCAGATATGAATGAATGAGAGAAAATCATGGAGAATTGTATTTAAAAACAGTAAAATCAATGTTGCTAACTGAATGCTCCTCTGTTGAAATTTAAAAATAAATGTCAAAATTATATGACGGTTCTGTATAGGATACAGGTTTGATTCTTGTTGGAGGACACATATTTTCTATGATAATTTCTCGGATATTCAGGCCGGTAAATGTTGTTAATACAGTTTATTATAAAACAGAGCATTTACTTAAATATTTGTATCTAT